TAGAACTGGGTATCTGGCCTGAAGTAAATGGAGCAAGGGTTAGGGCAGTATAAACGGATAAAAAAAAATGTAATCTTGGCGAGTTATTATAAAGGCGCATACTAAGCAAATAAACAAGGATGAATGTAGATGCCTAATGCTCCCTGCGGACCTGGGCAGCTGGCTCAGCAACTCCGATCTAATCAAATGCAGCACACGGGTCACGCATCACCTTCACTCTCACGTCTCTGCTCAGAAAGTTTTTTTTTTTTTTTTTTTTTTCCAGAAATGTGTTCTATTTGTGCTCCTTTCCCTGAAGTTGTCAGCACACTGGAGGGGGGCATGTGTGCAGTGTGACATGTGACAAGGCATATGATCCCCTCGTGTGCCTGAGTGTCACAGTGTTTGTTAAAGGGCTGCCAAACAAGCAACCCAAAATGCAGTGTGTGTTTGTGTATGTGTGTGTTTTGGGGGGGGGGTCAATTCATGTCTTTCATGATGTTTAATGCCTCTGTCACCCAGCCTGTTAGCAGAGATGGTGGGCTGTGCTCTAAACACCTGACCGCTTTCATTATCCTGCAGACACACACACACATGATCAATCAAGTAATTACAACAAATCCCTCAGCAGGGGGCGCTCTCACTACTCTGACCAACATAGGGCATGACATTTAACAGGGAGCTCTCTCTCCAATATGATGCATGACACTCAACAGGGGGCACTCTCACGGGGCATGTCAACAGGGGGCACCTTTGCAATCACAGGTCATGACAACAGGGGGCGCTCTCGCCAACACAAGTCACGACACTCGACAAGCGGCGCAGTCACATGGCACTTACTTGCTCGCAGGATATTTTCTTTACTGCTGCATCTTGACTGAACCTATAGAGAAAAGAGAAAAACAAAAGGAGAGAAGTGCCATAAGCCAGGCGATCTGTGAGACCCGACCTCCCCAAAGAGAACGGAAACATTTGGCTGACAGCTCCCAGGGATTACAGGAGCACCCAGAGTTCGCCACTTCCTGCCATTATTATCCTTACTGTTAAGCATCATCCCTCTTCACAGAACACACATGCAAATATAATGCCAATCACTACTACTAATGTCACAAGTACTAATAAATCACAATAACATATAAAAACAATAATTCTCCTACCAAAGACAATAATATGCTTAAACAGAAATAGAACGATCACTAAAATGACAAATCCCTTAGGCCAAGGACATCAGTGTGCTGCTTATAAATCTACCAAAGGGCCCTGGGCTGCTGGAGACGGAGGCAGGACCGAAACGCCACCCAGCGCATTGGGGGAGCCATTCACCCATTCCTCTCTGACGCTACATCTCAGCTTTTGTTGCCCGTAGGAGGTTGGAGACCCATCAGGTGTCTCTGTCACTTCACGATGCAGAAGGGGGCGGGAGGAGCTGTCCAACCCCATCATACGTATAACCACGGTGACCTAACACCCCTGGCCTAGAGGGACAGCACGTTCACCGTCAGGTGATCACAGCACGTAAGGACAGAGCACAGACAGCCAAATCGACGTGTCGCTGAGGAAGGGGGGGGGCGGCAGTGGTACAGCACGGGTATACTGACCGGCGACGAGAGAGAACAGCACAGACACAGTGCACCTCGACAGAGAACCCCCCCCCCCCCCCCCCAACAGCGGACTGAGAACCCAGCACAGACACACCAGATCCAGAGCAAGTCAGAGAGCCGAGTGAGGGAGAGACAGGAAGCGAGAGAAAGAGAGAGTAAGAAAGAGAGAGAGTGTGCTGGAGGATAGAGTTAGAGGCGAGAGAGAGATAGGGCGAGAGAGAGAGATAGACAGACAGAGAGGCTGAGAATGCTGGAAGACAGTGAGACGGTGAGAGAGGAGGAAAAGGAGACAGAGAGAGACAGAGAGAGACAGAGAGAGAAAGAGATAGACAGCGAGAGGGTGGAGCATGGAGCGGCAGAGCGCATCTGTGAGCGGCTCCTCGGGGGGAATAGTTACTCGCGAGCTGAAGATCCTATGGCTCCTGCAATCATCTTTAAGGCCCTCCAGCCTACAGTGCAGCTATGGTGTGGACAGAAACAGACAGACATGGTGAGGAAGCGGGCAGGAGACCCGGGGCATTCAGCGGCGGACAGAGAAGGCGCCAGAGGCGGACGAGAGTCGGAGTGCGGCAGGGACAAGGACGACACGCCGAAATACGAGAGGCACTACAAACCATCAGAAGCAAAGTACAACAGAGTATAGCAGAGCACTGCAGAGTACAGAAGTGTAGTGAGGCTTCACACACTTAGAGTAAAGATGTCTAACCAAAATTACTGGACACCCACAAGCACCGATTAAATTTGATTCATAAAGTTGATTCTGCCAGGAAAATTGACAGTTTTGTTCACTTTGTGATTCATGAAGAAATTTACCAGTGCCTAAAAATTTTGGTCAAAGCCACAAATAAAGTTTGTGTAAGGTGCTCAGACTCAAATCTTCTGATGAATGTCTTCTGACGAATGACACATTCAGCACAGGTGACGAGATGCACACAGATCTACACACTGACATCTAAAGGCCAAAGACAGAGGCAATCAACCGGCTCAAGAAGGTGTGTGGAGACATGAGCAAGTCAACACATCAGCACCTCCCAGATTCAAGCTCTGACCAGAGAGGACAGCGGCCACGCTCTGGTGTGGGGATAAAAGAGTGGAAATTATCCTGTGTTCGATTATCTCTCGGAAGTCGAAAGTCCGAGGTGCGTGACGTCACGTCCGACCAATCTCCCATTCGAGCTACACATCTCGGAACAAACATGGCTGTTGTGTGTTGTTGCTTTATATTTTAACAGGTTTGGAGTGAGATTCTTTTTTCCGAGAGACAAACACACAAGAAACACAAACACGAACCACATTAAAAGCTTTATAAAATATTTTAGTAGATTCATAGCGATATTTCAAGAGGCAAACAAACTACAAACAAAAGACACTAACAAGTCTGGTAAAAATCTGATATTCCATGCTAGGATACTGTTTATGGTCACGATATGGTATTCTCTAAATCGACCACGTGCAATTACATTCATAGCTATTAATACATTTAACAAAATAAACATTTTTAAATATTTATACAATAGAATTACTGTTGACTGTGTAAGCTGCCATGTTGAAATGACGTCACAGGGGAAACTCCATCCATTCATCCATCCATTGTCCAACCTGCTTATCCTATTGGGTCGCAGGGGGTCCGGAGCCTATCCCGGAAGCAACGGGCACGAGGCAGGAAACAACCCTGGATGGGGGGCCAGCCCATCGCAGGGCACACTCACACACCATTCACCCATACATGCACACCTAAGGGCAATTTAGTAACTCCAATTAGCCTCAGCATATCTTTGGACTGTGGGGGGAAACCGGAGCACCTGGAGGAAACCCCACGACGACACGGGGAGAACATGCAAACTCCACACACATGTGACCCAAGTGGAGACTTGAACCCAGGTCCCAGAGGTGTGAGGCAACAGTGCTAACCACTGCACCACCATACCGCCCCACAGGGGAAACTCGGACAACAAAATTCTGTCTGACATCAACGTCAGAAAGGAGGCGTGTTTCTGACGGGAAGTGACGTTTTTCGTGACGTTTTTATCTGAGTTCCGACTTGGAGAGAGATAATCGAACGCAGGATGAGAGTGCTAAGGGGGTTAGGGTTTTCCGAAGGAACACACATGCACACACACGCACACACACGCACACACATGCACACACACGCACACAAGCCAGCAGCATGGGAAATGGGGGCGGGGACCCAGAATGGCCTATCAGAAGGCTTCAGGAGTGAACAACTAGGAGTGGAACATGGAGAGGAAGAGGACACCAGTATCTCTGTGCCACTCCACTCGCCCACATGCACCCCCCAAGCTATCCATCTATAACCCCAACCCTCTCTGTCCACTGACCCAGCCCACCGACTTGTCCGTTTTCAAAAACTTCTCTGTCCATGGTCTGTCCCACATATCAAATGCCTCTTTGTTTTTGATATTTGCTAAAATTTCCAAAATGGATAATCAGTTCTGAAAAAGAGAGTGCCTTGTCGGGACGTCCTCAGGGAGCAAAATGCCTCTGTGGTATCACACTAAATAAGACATTAATTGAGTAAACAATTGAATGAAGACACTTCCGGCTCTTTCTGATTCAGAAACGTCCCACCACACAGACCCCAATCCCCCAGCACAAGCCTGAGCGGATGCTTATGCTGTGTGGCGGGGGCCAGATAGAGTCTGACACCTGAGCTGCTAGACAGATGAGAGAATAAATAAAACGGGCCACACTCCACGGCCTAAACGCTCTCTGCCGCCCCCACGGATCGTCCTAGAGACGGCCCTGATTGGTTGTCACGGAGATCACTGCAGAGATCGATGAGGGGCTACGCCGGCGGAATAGCCAAACCTGGCAGGTGACAGAAGTCAGGCCAGACGCTGGGAGCGGGAGCCACATTCGGGCCTCCTGCAGGGAGGGCAGAAAGGAAATCGATCCATCAATGGGGGGCTGGGGGGTGGAATGTCTCTGAATCAGAAAGAGCAGGACCTCGCAGGTGAGACCCCAGGGACATACAGGAACCGTGGGGGACATACAGGGGACTTGGAAACCAGGAGGATCGCCTAACAATGTGAAAGGTTGAGGGCCACCTCTCACAGGCCTGGCAGAGCACCCCCCAGCCACACAGCCCCCTGCCTTAACACCTGCCTCCTCCCTACTGCTGCCTACTTGCTGCCAGTCACAGCGACTGACCACAGGGAGGAACGATGAACCAGCTAACCAAGTAAACACAAAACAAGCAGAGACACAAGATCAGCGAGTGGCCCTACTGTCATCATTGCATGACACACACACACACGCATACACACACACACACACACACCTGTACTCATATCTATGTGGGGACTCTCCATTCATTTCTATGGGAAAAATCTTAATCCCAACAATGACAACCACAACCCCTACTTTGCCATAAGTAACCAAACAAAAAACAAGACTTCTGGCACTTTTAGTTTTTTTGATTGCAGTCACAGCATTTTATAAAACTGGGTTTCTGTCATGCCCTGCTCATCCAAACCTCTCATGTGCCATGCCCCCTCGCTAACTCGTGTGGAATCCCCTTGTTACTGCCTTCAACAGCCTGAAGTCCAGGAAGATCCTGCGGCTTGCGGCCTTGCTGCTCGGTCTAAGGACATGTTGGAGGAGATCTCCTCGTCTAGCGAACCGCACCTAGCCGAAGAGGTATGGTAGAACCTAACCCGGCTGAGAGTCACAGAGGCAATGATGAAACAAGTCGCGCTGGACAGTGAATTGCCTTTAGGATCGCTGGCAAAATTTCCAGAAGTGTCCCTGACTCTGGGAAAAGCTGCCCGGAGGAAGAAAAGGCGGAAAGACCGCAGAAGGGAGGACAAGCCGGAGATTGTCCTGGGGTCCGTCTTTCTCTCTGCTGTTCCCCCTGCAGCAAGTCGGGAGGAGCCCCTCCCGATTCTTAACCTGGCGGTGTTTGTCTCTCTGGGATTCCCTACGATCTGCAGCAGACACCCAAGGCTCGTCCGCTCGCCGCATCGAAGCAGACGCCCAGGCTGGTCTGCCTGATGCTTTGCCTGCACCCAAGGCTTATCTGCCTGCTGTTTTTCCTGCGTCCGAGGCTCATCTGCCAGCTGCTTCATCTGCACCTGGGGTGGCGCCAAAAGCCTGCACTGTTGCACCTGTTCCCACCCCCGTGGTTCCTGTCCTGGCGGTTCCTGCTCTGCCCCCCGTGGTTCCTGATCCCCTGGACCCTGTTCCTGCCTAAGTTCCCATGGCACCTGTCCCTGTCCCCAAGGAGGTCCCGGACCATCAGACCACCACTCCTCCTCCCTTGGAGATGGAGGAGAAGTTTGATTGGGACCCCTCAGGGATATCCCTGATGACTGCCTCAATGAACCCTTCAGGTGGGTCACCCCAGCCACCATCCCAGCGTGGTTGATCCCGGCCAAGTCCCCGTCTCTCAGTCTCCAGGAGAGGAAGAGGACACCTGTGCCGGGGTCAAGTCTCACCCGCCCAGCCCCCTGGCTTGCCTTTGGTCCCCCTGGCTTTTGCTTGGTGGTCGCCTGCGGGTCCTCCAGCTCCTGCTTGGCAGTTGCCTGCGGTTCCCCTGGCTCCTGCTTGGTGGTCACCTATGGTGCCCTCTGCAGTGCCTCGTCGGGCAGCTGTGGTCCTGCTTCTGACACCTCTTCGGTCGCCTGCGGGTTCCCCAGCTCTGACTCGTCGGTTGCTTGTGCCTTCACTGGCTGTGGCTATGCCTTCGCCTGCCGTGGCTTCTGCTCCCTCCTCGCCTCCTCCAGTGTCCCCTTCTCCTCCCTCCTCTGTCAGTCCCTCCACCTTCCTCCACGCCCCCTTCAGCTCCTGCCTCGCGGTCACTGAGGATCCCTCCTGCTCCGGCCTCGCGGTCACTCACTGCCCCTGCAGCTTCCGCCTTCCACCCGCCAGGGTTCCCTCCGACTCCCCATTTCCCCCTGCCCTTTGCTTCCTGGTTTTGTGCCCCTGTGTTTGCCTTCCATCCTTCTGTTCCACTTTTGTTCCCTCCTGGTCCCTTTGTTCCTCCTGTTGGGCTGTCCCCTGCTGTTGTCCCTCCATTGTTCCCGTCCTTAGTGTCCCTATTCGTGTCTGCGTTTGTATAGCTGTTGTCTGAGTTCTTGCCTTGTCTGTCCTTTGTGCAGTTGTTGTTCCCCGTGCCTCGTTGAGGTTGTTGTTTTGGTTTTCCCAGGTGCTGTCCCGTCCTGTGATGTCCCCGGTCTCATCCCGTTGGTGCCTTTAGGCACGTCCGGAGTGAGCACCTTTGGGGGGAGAGGGTTCTGTCATGCCCTGCTTGTCTGATCCTCCCGTGTGCCATGTCCCCCTCATTTATCTCGTATGGAATCCCGGTATTCCCAGCTGTGACTAGTTGTTGTTAATTAGTCCTGTATATTTAAGAAACTGGTTCCCATAAGGTAAAAAAATTGGTATTCATCACGTTGTAGAGACATTTGGTCTCCACAAGGTAAGGTATACCTGGACCACACACACACACACACACACACACACACACACATTGGAGGACCATGAAGAGCTCGAGGATGGATGAGAGGGAAATGAGGGTTGAAGGAGGCCGTCACAGGAGGGGATAAGGCCATGGCTGGAGTACAGCTGAAAGCCCGCCACCTGTCCTAGGTGGCAGCCCACTTTGCCAAAAAGTGTTCCTCCATGTTGAACTGGGAAGTGTGCTCTGACACCTACAGTACAGCTAAGTCTCACAGCTGAAATAAGGGTTGTGGACCATACCATTCTGATGGGCAGGCTGGGGATGCAGGTCTTGCCACTCCCCAAGCCGAGCCCCTGCTCGCTTATGCTCGACTGACACCCGAGCAGCAGTCCCTGGAGACTGCAGCCTTTCATGGAGCCTTCCTGGCACGACGGTGACATCCAGAGACTCCTCGCTCCCAAAAAACAATGTCATACTGTCTAGCTAGAATGGAACAGCTCCCAGGATTGGTTGTGCTTCGCCTGAGAAAATGTAGAGCTGCTGAGCCTTTGACATGTTATACTCTGGGAGCACGACTTTGGTTTCCGTTTAGCTGAGAGCGCTCACAACCCTGCTGGTGTTTACCATCCTGGAGATCCCAGGTAAGCTCCGATTGGCTCTCTTTCTGCCTGGGGGGCAGGAGCAGCCTCAAGGAGGTTTGGGTGGACGTACAGTCCTGTTCATTGTTGCGAATGAGTTCCACCCACCCCGTGGCTGGCCAATTGAGGGCGTCTCTATGCACTTCCTCTGGTCTGCTGCATGCTGGTAGGCTGGAGAAAAGGGAGGTGTTTACCTGGTCCAAGGTAGAGTACCTTGACTTGAGCGTGATGACCTCATCCAGATGAGCCCTGAACTCTCTCCGTGAGGCCTGTGGGAAGCCACAGGATAGTCACTCACCTTCACACACCATATACACACATACACACACACACACGCACACACATACACTATTATACACCGATATTCACAGAACACTCCATTTTCATCATCAAAATCTATTTAGATATCAACATTTCTACCTTGCATTTTAACATCAGTTACTAAGGTCGTAACATTAACAATAACTACAAAACAAAAAGAAAACTGCTTACATCACCTTGATATTGACCATGCATACATAACCGTCATGTTTTAGACACCAATTTAATAGTGTTTTACAAAGATTTTACTTTTGGTTTTATGGAAACAAAGTATGCTTATTGTCTGACAGTAAGTCAGACGAGTTACTGTGTGTTTGACTGTTAAAATGGAAATAGCAATAAACAGTAGGAAACTTAATTATCCATCCATCCATCCATCCATCCATCCACTTATTCAGGACAGGGTCGGGGGGGGTCTGGAGCCTATTCCTAGCAGCACAGGGAAAATCCTCCTTACACTTGATAAAATTACTTCTGATCATGAAATAAAAGGGGCATTCAGGTTTATACATGGATTCAAAATATCAAATCTTGGCTGCCACGTACCTGTCCCTTACCCTGCCTGAACACCATACTGTACAAACTCGCAACACCATTAACGTCCTTATAAATAAGGGAAGAGGAACCAATGCGGGGTCTTTGCCCCATCGCTCAGCGTTAAGATCCACCTTGAGCAGATTGAGAAATGCCACCTCCAGTGTGCCTTTCATACAGCACTCAGTCTGATGCTGAGAGCAGTGAATCATTAACAGAGTTCAAATGTGTCTTGGGTCCATATGAGGCTTGCTTTGAAAGCTTAGACCCAAACTTTCCTGGTTGCTTTTCACCTTCTAGGCTAGTTTTCATCTGAGATGATTTTTATTCAGCATTCAGAAGATGAATTTCACCCATTTATAAAACTGGGTACCTTAACACGCAGGTCAGGAAGGTTACATGTCTGCCCTATGTGTTTAATACCAAATGTGTGTGTTAATATTTTTAATCCAAATACCATATAAACTGTTATAGATGCCAGACTGAGGGAAATGCTTATTGGTGAAACCTTTTTAGAGGCTGACATCTGAAACTGATAAGGTAATGAGGTACAGCACAGGTCTGCGAACATTAGGAGTGTACACGTATTCGCACCGAAAGTTCTTGGTACGGGTCTTTCGATTCGGTACACAAATGTAACGAACGAATGCAGCAAATGCGGAACCTTTGTATGTTTCCCCCGAGCGACATTCGTAAACGGACGGGTGAAGACTCTCCGCTTCACATGCATATGTACGTCTTAATGTGAAGCTGGAAGCTGTTAGTGTGAATACAACTACAGCGCAGGTATTTTTTTTAAATGCTACACCATAATGGATATTTATTTTGTTATGCTATGTATTTTTTGAGACAATATTTGTATTGCACAGTTCTAATATGAAGCTGAATGCTGCCGATGTGAAAACGGTACAGATCAGGTACAGTTAATTTTCTAAATGCGGCCCTTAATGGATATTTATTTATTTTTATTTACTTGAGAGATTATTTATTTTACAAGTATTTATTTTAGAAGTAAATTAAGTCGGTTGCAGCATTATTGACGGAGGCTTTTTATTTAAGAAAGACAGTCATACTTTGTTAGTAAACCACTGTATAATAAAAAAAAGCAATTTATGTTTTGTTTCTTTTACCTCCACTGTACTGCAAACGTACAAACCGTGACCTCAAAACCGAGGAAATTACCGAACTCTGATTTTTCTGTACCGTTCCACTCCTAGTGGACATTAAATATTGGGTCTCTGCGCAGCATGGGAACAGATGCTGTCACCAGGACTGAAATGCTTGACAGAATCAATCAATCAATCAATCCATCCCTCCATCCATCCATCCGCTTATGCTGGCTACATTCCTATCCTGGGCAGCACAGGCAACATGGCTGGGGGACACCCTGGATGGGATGCCAGTCCACTGCAGGACACACAGGCACAGACATTTGTATTCATATCTACGTGGGAACCATCCATTCATTTCCACTGGACAAATCCTAATCACAACAATAACAACCTTAACCACAACTCAGCCCTAACCTTAACCATAAGTAATCAAAGAAAAAACAAAACTTTTGGCATTTTTAGTTTTTTGATTGCAGTCGCAGACTTTTGTGGGGGCTGAAAAAATGGTTGCTGCAACGTCAAAATAAATGTTTTTATCATGTTGTGGGGAAATTGGTTCCCACAATGTAATCTGTACTTGAATTACACACACACACACACACACACACACACACACACACACAAATGTTTCTAATTATATCTTTCATAGTCTATGACTCTCCATTCAATTCTATGGGGAAAACTCTAATCCCAACAATGACTTCAGGCATTTTTAGTTTTTTGATTGCATTCACAGATCTTTGTGGGGACCTGAAAAATAACAATCAAATAACAATCATAATCCCCACCCAGCCCTAACCTAAACAATAAGTAACCAAATAAAATACAAGTCTGTCATTTTAGTTTTCACAGATTTTTATGAAATTGAGTTTCCCCTTTGGGGACCAAAAAATGTCCCCACAGGGTAAAAAGTTACAGGTTTCTATCACACTGTGGAGACACACAATGTAATATAATCAAAACCACACACACACACACACACACAAGCACAGCCACACAACATGGGGAGAACATGCACACTCAGAGAAAAAAACTCCTGCTGAATATACAAATAGTGTTAGTGACGCAGCACACTGTTATCAAGGTGGGAGAAACGCTGGCATCCGTGCTGATATCTGGTGAAAACACGTGTAATCCAACAGCAGAGGCCCCTCGTGCTGAACACGCCAAAGCCAGCACTATGCAGTAGGCCAGCTGTACATATGTGTTCGCTTGTGCTGAAGCAGGGGTCTCTGGACTACTCCGCTATAAAGCCCACAGGCAGAGCGAGGACCGAAAACAGGTAAGCAAGAGCCCCAGGAATTTCTGAACACAAAATGGACTATGAGAGGGAGAGAAACGCAGTCTGTATTGCTCAGCCATCAGGCGACGTTTCTGGAGTGACTCGGAACTGCAATATGACCTCCTCCACCGGGGCTCTCAAGTTTTATCAAAAGTTTGGAATGAGCTCTGTTAGGGGCAAAGTGTGTGTCTCACGGTCACTGCATGAGACTTGAGAGCCCTGCCGACCGCATTTATTGGATCTTACTCTTACACTTTCACCTTGTCTGCACTCCATCTTTGTGTGCATCCATGTAGCAACATGCTTGCAGCAGGATCACATGTAACGTATTTTGGAATTTACCCAGAAACAACAAATGCTGTTTTCTGAATGGCTGATAGGTGGCCATTAACTCTGTGTAACTTGGGACAGCTATGAACTCCGCGGGAAACTCCACTCCGCATGCCTGCGCATCCTCCAGCAATTCTATATAAGGGGACACCTTGGTGGCCGTTATCCCTTACTCCTCACTGTGGGAAATACAACTTATGAACTGGTTGAAATATGTGTCTCACGGTCATTGTGTGAGACTTGGGAGCCCTGTCCTTCACCCTGAAATAAAGCCGAACCACATTGCCCATGAATCCTGAAATCATACGCCTGCAACGTGTCTGAAGGTCAGCCGTGTGACACCATGACCTTTCACCTCGAATCAAGCGGCTGATTTTCAAATAATCATCCATCCATCCATCCTACTAACTTCCAACCAATGGTCCTGCTCAGGGTCAAAGGGGGCCTGAAGCCCAGCACAGGCAGCACAGGGCAGAAGGTTGAAGCCCACCCTGGATGGAATGCCAATCCACTGCAGAGCACATACGCAATTACAGCCTGTGGGCAATTTAGTGATGGCATTTAGCCTAGCCGCATGTTTGTGGACAGAGGGAAGAAACCCATGTGACACGAGGAGGGCATGCAAACCACACGTACACAGACAGGGGGCACCAGAGGATGGATTAAAAACCTCAACCCAGGGAGTGTGGGACAACAGTGCTACCCACTGAGCCACTGTGCCTAAAATGTTTATCCAGTTACAAAGAAAACACACCAAGAAAATATAGATTAGCAAATGGCTCATTCAAAATCACCACCAGTGGCAATAAGCGTTTCTCCTAACTAACAGTACACAAATGAATGCCATGTGGGACATGGAGAGCTGATGTATTAGTAGGCCGACTGTGGGGCATGAGCGAGAAATGAGCGGTGACCATGGTGACGTGGAGACAGGACGAGGGTTTGGTAAAACGCATGCTATAATACCTCAGAAACACTACAGGAGGATGAGCAGGAGGGGAGCCGGCCTGGGTGCCATGAGAGAAGGGGGAGAAGAGAGAAGCATTACAAGGACTGTTAACGAACAGAGACACTGCCCCCTGCTGGTTGGAGGACCAATGTCTCTCTCAAAGTGGCCACACAAGGCTTAGCAGAGGCAAAGCTCTTCTGACTGGTTAAACGTCTCAACTTCCCCCATCTCTCACTGCAGCTGTTCTCAGTTCCAGGAGCAATTCTGCTGCTGCACTAAAAAGTAGGGTCAACACCTTGAAGAAGACTCCATTACCATAAACACTGACCCCTACTGGTGGAGATGGTTTATGAAGGGCTCGGAATCCAGCAAATACACAGACGCACACATAGCTGTGTTACTGTCACAATGCTGATCGCGGTACAGCATCCCGTTTGGTACGAAAGACCGCCTGTCTCCAAACCCTACGCAGAACATTTTTGCTTTGAGGATGCGCTGCATTTGCAGGCAGGATGCGCTGAAGAGGGTGTCTTACATTTTTCTAAGACTGCTGCATCCCAATCAGAGGGTTAACTGCATGAGGCTTTGGTCTCGCAGGACTCGCTTCCTGTCGGACAGATGCGCTCCTCTGCCACACTGCTTTGGTTCATTCCGCATCTCTGGCGGGCCGTAAATCAGGCCCCCCGCCCTACATTTTGTTGCCGTTTATGTTTTGCCGTGTGCTTGTCAGCAGAGATATTAGCAGGCCCCCACAGACTGCCCCCCAGTCCTCGGGCCCACATAGAACCTTTTAAAACACGAGGTTTAAAGGTTCTGTGCTTGTCGACCAAAAAGGACACAAAGCCTCGATGACAGCGCAGTCAAAGGTCAGTCAGAATGACGTGCATTGCCATGGCAACCACACAGATGCAGGCTTCCCGTGGGGTAACCTCTAACCCTGGTCTCCCTGACAGACCCCCCTTGGCCTTCCGAGGTACACGCACCAGCAGCGATCAGTGACATGCGCAAGCTCACATAGAGGGGGCCACAGGCTGCCTATCTGCTGGTCGCTCTGTGATAGATCCCACAGCAGCAGCTGTGGAGGACAGAAGGAGCGCCACCAGCCTGTCCAGCTGTGATCAACGCCCATAAAGCACAAAGCACCCTGGGAAAAACCTGGCCACACTCTGGGGCTGGCAGACGGCCACCCGCCTGAGGGCGTCTGGCACAGACCAACACATTTTTACAGGTCACTACATTCAGAGTCTCGAATGCATTTGAGGGCGGCAAGATTACAGAGTCTGACTCGTCCAGTCTGAAGCCGTCATTATCACCCCTGCGTCAGTGAGGTGCATTGCCATTTCTGGTTACCAAAGTGCATGAAGTCAGAAGCCCATCAGGCAGCAGATATGAAAACCAACAACCTACTGGTGTCATGAGTATCCATTAATGTCACATGCACTGCCTTTATATTAAATAGACCCAGCCATGAATGTAGAAATGCGCATTAATATTATACAAATATTCACACTAGCTTCACCTATTGAATAATAAGTCTAACTGCTCCCTTATTCCAGACAAAAATGAAAAAAAAAATCATACAATACCATCCACAAATGTCTTTACATTCGAAAGTATAAGTGTATAAATAGTCAAGAATTTAAAAAAAGCCAACATAATTTGTTTTTTTATGTAGGATCCTGACAGACCTACAGTAGGACGCTGCTCCTGGTGTTCAGTGACTCGACACTGCAGCCACACCACTGCAGACCATCTGCTTTGCATTCTGGAAACATCTCGGCTCCCTTCTTTGTGCTAATTTTGCTTTTAGTGGTTTCGGTTAGCATGCAGGGTACAGCCAAGACGCAACCGTTTGCATGCCGGGGAATGAGCCCTGTTTGGAGTGATGCTCAATGTCACACAGTTCCCATAATCCCTCCTCCCGCGCCATCGCAACTGCTCATGGCAGCAATACGTCTCTCCCAAATTCTCCCGGGGGGTTCTCCTCGACCTGCTAAGCTCCTCAGCGCAGTCGCTTGCCCAGCAGGAGCCTTCCCACGCTTCACTCACATCTTCACGCCACGGGACAGTGTACTGGGACATCTCAGAACTGCTCCTGCTGATTCTGCTACACGTAGTTCACAGCATCTCCGTAATCAGGCGATTTCAAAGGGATCTCATGACAATCCTCCCCGCAAGAGGCTGACATAGCTTTATCCAAACTAGGACTCTACCATTATGGCCCAGAGATGCGTGAATGAACCACACCTCTATGGGAACGACACAGAGCACCACCTTCAGTCTCCAGGTTAATAGCAGTTTATGATCTGGTCCATCATCCATAAGATGCTTGTGTGTGTATGTGTCTGACAAATCACAGACCAGGTCAAAGGGCAATGTCATCACTTCCTTTAAAATTCTTTATGCTGGAGGTGCCTTCTCTCCTCTCCTCTATGTGCCCCCCCATCATCTCTGTCCTTCTCTCATGGCTGCATGCAGAAGCCTGTGAGTACCCCTTCACCCC